CACTACTGTATGGATGGAGACGGGTCAAGTCGAGTGTGAGACTAATCTATTCAATGTGTAGACAACTTTTTTAAACAAAAATAAGTTATTCAATTTCAGTTTCAAATGATTTACATATGTATACAACAGGTCTAGTTTTCAACCAATTAAAACAATTCTAAATAATAATTTTCACTTTCTTGTAATAATAATTAGAACTGAATCATCATGACACCATTTCTGGTTTTGGATTAGAATTCAAGTTGTTTTTGTACTACAAACGTTCAGAATTTTGATTTAGAACTCAGATAGTGTCCAACGTTACACGTCGTATCATTAACTTCTAATTTTGGAAAAAGATAATTCGTATTTCACAAAAAATAACCACCAATGTCACTTTTCAAAGAATGATCGTGTCAAGAACATGTCTAATTGTATGAAATCGCTTCACCATAACTCCATAATCATTTGATATATTATAACAATTTACATATGCTCTTTGACATAATTATTACATATCTAATAGTCATAGTTTTATATCAAGAAGCGGGGGCACTGATTATATCATTAGTACTAATACTAAATTTCGGGGTTCAAAGCGGGGGCACTTTCCCCCAGGACCCCCTAGGTCCTCCACCGCCTGCTCCGACCCCATCATTGCTCAACCAGCTCCCGTCTCGCCGCCACCATAGCCCCTCCACCCCTACCACGACCCCACTAGCCCTACCACTGGCCCCAACACCAACCATAGACGTCGTCGCCATTTCAGATCTAAATCTAGAATTCGTCCCTTAGCATATGACCTCGCCCCTTGAATCAGGTCACTGTCCCTTCGACCTCAGTCCTTTAATCGCATTCCTTAAATAAAAACAAAAATGAAGAAGAAATTTGGCATGCGTAGGGCATCAGCAATGGAAGGGGACGACGATGGTGATGGCGAGGTTGCATAGACGACGAGCATGATGGTGAGGTTTTATAGACGACGAGCCGAACGATGATCACGGCGTTGCACCAAAGGAGGGGTGGATGGTGATGTTTAGGTCGCACTGACAACACGATTAATGGTGGCACGAAGGAGACGGGCGAAGAACATCCTTCATAGCGATGAAGGCACCGTACACGATCGACGAGATCCTTCCCAACGGACGCACCGATGCATATTGTGTAAGGTCAGGGTAACCGGAGGCGTAGCTCACCTGGTAGAAAGGGAGTGTCACAAGGGAGAGATCACGGGTTCAACTCCAAGCAAAGACTTGATATGAATCTCCACTCTCTTTCCATTAGAATGAGATCAAAGCTCAACTTACATCCTCCCAGATAACTGTTCAGTCGGTTTTGGGGACCCTCAAGGATGATGTGTCATCCTTTTTTGTGAGGTCAATGTTAGAGTTAGTAGGGGTGTTCGTCGGTTCGGTTTGGTCGGTTTTCGGTTTGGTCGGTTCGGTTTGGTCGGTTTCGGTTTTAGAAAAGGTGAAATCGAGAACCGAACCGCAGTATTTGAGTCGGTTTCGATTCAGTTTCGGTTCAATTACTTTTGGTCGGTTTGGTCAGTTTTGGTTCGGTCAGTTTTTTAACCCAAAAGGTGAAATCGTAAACCGAACCGTCAATGATTAGTCGGTTTGAGTCGGTTTCGGTTTTGGTTGGTTCGGTTTCGATCGGTTTGTCGGTCGGTTTCGGTTTTTCGGTTTTTTGTTCACCCCTAAGAGTTACTATTTATAAGGAGTGACATTTTGATCATTTCACTTTTATTAGGTCTCTTTTAGGTACAAAAGAAAATCTACTCCTATTTTTGTGTATTAAAAAGTCCATGATATTGTTTTTGTCATAATTCTTTTTATATAATCAACATTATATCTTGTTGAGGTATTGGGTCTAATGACGGGCAGATCCAAATACTACCGGTAGCCTAATCAGCGTAATAGGCCCAATATGGACGCTCAGGCTTAGTCAGTGTTGTAACTGTTCTATATTTAAGATATAGAACCTGACACATTTTGACTTCTTTCTTATTTGCTTTGCTTTGTTGCCATTTACTAATAAGTCATCGCACTAAAATAGATGTACATAAAAAAATTCAAAATCTGAAAGAATTTAGATTCCCAAATATCATGAAATTAGATTCCCAAATTATCACAAATCACAGATCATATGTGATGTCATTGAAACGATACGATAGTGCATGCTGAATTAGTGGATTCACGCAAATAGCATGAAATTAGATTCCCAAATTATCACAAATCACAGATCTTGTTGATAATGCTTTCTCAGTGTCAACTATAGGAACCTTGCTCGCTGGGAGTATCTCATTCAGCATTAAGGAGATGCGATTATCCTTGATAATGTTGCTCGCTGGGAGTGTCAAATCACTAATACTGTCGACCATAGTGATATAAGATCACAATTTGTTTGCTGTTGCAGGAGAAAAAAATACATACTCCCTTCGGTTCTCAAAGACCTTCACACTTTGACTTCACATAGATTAAAAAAATAAATTTGACTTTACTGTGGAATGCACTGTTTGGACACTATTTGACACTGTTTTACATTGTTTGACACTATTTTGCACTGTTTTGGGTAGATAATTTGCTAAATAAGGAAATAAGAATAAGTGTGAAGTTAATTTTGGGACTTCCCGAAAAGGAAAATGGGAAGTTGTTTGTGAACCGGAGGGATTATATTCCATCCGTCATAGAATAATTTGCAATCTTTTTTAATTGGTTAACAAAGTTCTGTTTTATTTAATTATTCTCTATATAAGTTTTAGACTTTAGTTATCGGTACTGATTTATATATTAGTGAAGAAGGTTTGATTTTTTCATCAATTAAACTTCAGAATATTTCAAGAACTTTTAGTGGGATAGTTTAGCAATTAGCATATTCAACCAATGTAGGAGGTGTTCTCTTCCTTTAAATAATTGATTTGGTTGAAATTTTGCAAGATCTAACAAGTATCATCCCATTTCAATATGATCTGAATGGTTTTATCCCTTCGAAATATTTCTGATATTGTTTCACTTTCTAGTTTAAAAAATATAACATCTAATTTGGTACATGTATTTCAGATCTTTTAACGCTATACATAGTAATAATAAGTAGAAAAAATAAGAAAGACACTTCAACCTTAGTGGATTCAAGCATACAAATCATTTTAGGCGTTCTTATATACTCTTTTTAATGGAAGCATATAAGCTGTACTCAACTTGGAACAATTTTTTTACTCACAAGGTCTAATGCTTACACTGTATGACCAACTTGATGATTTTACCCAGTCCACGCCAACAAATGTCCAGTGCAGAGCATTATCATCTTCAATGATGGAGATGGTTCCACTAGTCCATAAAAAAAGAACTTCATTTTTCTTTTTTGGCAAAGAATTTGTAGTTCACAGCAATTCTTACACATTCTTACACATTTCTCTCTCCTTTGCACAACTCTCCACCACACAATTCCTACTTTCTTAATCCGTGTGTCATTTGTACTATGGAAGTAAATTCTGGGACGGAGGGAGTACTATTTCCTCTCTCAAAATAAATTTTATGCTTTTTTCGTCCATCCCAATATGCTCTTTTTTCTTTTTTGGCAAAGAATTAATAATTTGTGACATCTATCTCCATTTTTCTCTCTTCTGTATAAGGGGGTGTTTGGAACTGATTCTGTTTCTGCTTCTTTTTTAAAGCAGAAGCAGAATCAGTTTTCAGAAACTGATCACCCCCAACTTCTAAAAAAACTGATTCTAGGAGTAAATTAGAGCACCAGAATCACTTCTGCACTTTCACCCAAACACTCCAACTTCTGCTTCTGCTTCTTGAAGGAGCGGAATCAGTTTTAACAATCAGATCCAAACACATCCTAACTTTAAGCTACACGATTCTCACTTTTTCAGTCTCTGTTCAAAGTCAAAATAGGAGTTTACTACTCCGTATGAAATATTATGACGGAAAGAGTAAAGAAATTTGCTTCCTCGATCTAACCAACAGTCATCATTGTGATGAAAAGTTACACATTATTGGCTTATTGCGGTTAAGCATAACACTCGATCATTTCAAAAGACTGATTCGTGTTGCCACAAAAATTAAAGCATGCCGACAAAACAAAACAATAAACCACTCACCTAAAAGCAATATCCATAATCAAACCTTCTGCACCGTTCATTAATCTTTATGCAGTAAAATCACATCAAGTAATACATACATTCACCATAAGGCCATTTGCAACCCAATATTAAATTAAATAGCTCCAAAACTCAAGTTTGGAGCCATCCCTCATTCCCTCATTTTGTGTACAAGACTTATATTGGGAGAGGCTAAAATGAGATAATAACACCCAATAAGAGGCTAAAACCTCACCCCATATTCATGGTTCCAAAGTAAACAGCAAAAGCAAAATCCAAAGGCAAATGCGCAGACCGTGCAGGAGAAGAGCTTTTTCTTTTGAAGCAAATGCAGGAGAAAAGCTTGAAAAACACTTACATCAGCATCATTTTTATTGAAATATTTACCAAATAACTTATTAAATCACTTCAATAACTCCATGCAATAGTTTTTAAAAAATAATTTTTTCAAAATATGAAATACGGTAAAAAAGAGGTAAATCAATATCTAGTTTTTACATAAAAATATCTAGTTTTTAAAATTATTTTTGTTTCATAAAATATTTACCCAAAAACATTATTTATAAAAAAATATAGTTTATTTATTGTATGTACAAAATATATGTAGGGTGAATATATTGATGGTTCCTAAATTGCGGGAAAACACTCAATTGACAGAATAAATACACTAATTTTCATATTAAGAGTGGATATTTAAGTTTATTGACGGAGAAGGATTGTAGGATGTCTAAAAGTACTCTATTTTTATCTGTGAAAGGAATAGTCTAGTTAGTTATATTCTCCTATATTTATCTCTTTGGTAGGAAAAAACGCAATAAACAAGAAAATATAGTGCAAAACAACAGAGCAATACTCCGTAGATTGTACCGCCGAATAAAAAACAGTGACATAACAACATTAACAAGAAAGCAGATTAAACAACTAGCAGAAAATAAATTTGTTTATTAATCAAATAATAGTACGGAATACAACACAGATTCACAGCAATAACAATATCAAAATATATCCCTATAGAAACAGACACTATTTATCCTCAAGTGTGAAAACATGACAGTTCAGCATGCAATAAGCACTTGGTTTATCTGGATGACTCGATGAACGATATTCTGAAATCAGAACCCAGTCCAGTCGTCTGGACAACCGATGATCTTGATAAATTTTCTATCGGCTAAGCATTTTTTAGCTTTTTTTATTCAATATTACATGAGAATAGAAATGATAAGTCAAACCCTTGGTCAACATTTTTCTTTAGTATGAAGATGTCAGAAGATCACATTGGTGTTGGTATCCGCTATAGAATTTGTCTTGGAAAAGAATGGTGGGATAAGAAGGGGTTAAGGAGGTGGAACCTTACGGGCATAATCCAACACCATTACGAAATCCTTGGCGGAGGAACCAATTGAAACCGATACCCTTTCAGCAGAGGTCATTTGAAGCCACATTTCCAGTAAATTTTTTAGCTGTAAAGTGGGTACTATGGGCTTCCCCATACATCTTATTTCAACCTGTGCAAACCATAAATTAAACATTCAGAAGAGCCAAAAACTTGTAGCAAGTACTCACTGGATTCATCATTTTCATTTACCCCAGTGCCGCAAAAGCTCCCACCTACGGTGGGGTAAGGGGGGGTCGGATGTACGCAGTCTTACCCCTGTACTAAAGCACAGAGAGACTGTTTCCGGATGACCCATACTAAAGTACTCACTGGATTATGAAAACAAAAAGTTATGTTCCTCAGATAAACCAGAAAATTTTATATTTGTATAGGAAAAAGTAAAACGAACTACTACATACAATTTATCATTAAAATTGCGCCCCTCACCCACACCCAGTTTCCATACCTCATATTCACTTGCGAGATCCAATTTCCTCATCAGATACTTTTGAATGAAAGAAACTGGAATATTCCCATCCCTGACACGAAACCAGTTAAGTCCGCATCAGCTTTACAATTTCAATACTCTAAATTTAATTATTCATATGAAAATTACATAATTCCAAGAACAATATTCTCCTAGCGTTCCTCCACTAATCATGACATATTATTCTCTAGTCTCACATCCCTAAACCTAGTAAACAAAATCCCGAAGGCCCAAATGGGAGTCTCTTGCATACCTTAAATGAGCGCGTCTTCCCTTGGGAGAATCAGATTTATGACTTTTTTAACAATAATTCAGTTGAAGTTTGAATTGATCAAGAAACCTGTATCTCATCATATGAGTTGTAGTTTATCTGAGGAGCATAACTTAATGTTTTCAAAAACCAGTGGGTATTTACTACAAGCTCTTGACTCTTCTGAATGTTTAATTGACGATTGCACAGAATGATTAAGAAAAACGTGAAAAGTAGTGCGTTCCAAATTTCCTCACATCTCAGATTAAGAAAAACATGAAAAGTCCACGAAACTCTCACATCTCAAATTTTTAAGTATACTTAATTTCTTCTAGAGAGATTGTGCAGACAAAACCCACTTCTTATAAACAAGTTGCACCTTAAGTTTTCTGAAATCAATGCTAAAAAATTGTACAAGGGAAGCTTCTTAGTGTAGGGGAAATGTTTTTCTCTTTAGAATGTATTACCATAAGTGAAAGATAAAATGCACTTAGAAAATATGAATGATTTGAGTACTTGTCTAATTCTTCTGGTCAAGGAAAAGAAAAATACTGTAACACAGTAATGACACTACGAAATAGAATGGAGTTGAAAAGAAGAAATACTGGTCAAGGAGCTCACTTTACGCTCAAGAAACTTGCATAAATCTGGGGCAGTGGTTCACCTCCTTCCCTATATGTAGGGGATATACAACAGAAGAGGTAGAAAATTAATTGACAGAAGATAACTTGTTTTGCCTAAAAAATATGGAGTAAATAATTTCGGATTCTAAAGAGATAAGGAGATACTCACTGATCTTCAGAGGCCACTAAGGAGAACCAAATTGGACTGATCCTTCTTTCGCATTTAGTGTCACCAGCATCAAGCACGTCTTGTGGTGAAATCCTAAAACTTCCAAAAGCGGGATCCTTCTTACGAATTTTTTGCAACTTTCGAGGCTTTTCGGGTTCAGAAGGAATAAGGCCATCGTTACTCTTCTCATGGTAAAGTTTAAACTTATGTTCTTTCGCAGTGACTTTAGCTTTTCGGAAATGTCCATCATTGTCAGATGCAGATGGAGGTTCAGATTTTGCAGATGAAGCTTGCAACATAGACCTTGAAGACTTACTCCGGTTTGCAGCTTCCACCAAACAATTCAAAGGTTTCCATAAATCCACTTTCACATCCCACTGTTCAGCACCATTATCCGTTTCTTTAACAGGTGCAATGAGACTGGATGGTTCAGCATTGGATGTGTTCTGCAAGATGAAGATTCAAACATAAAGATGATGTTGGAATTAAAAAGTAGCTGAAATAGCATTCCTCTACCTGTCTGACATTCCGGGCGAACTTTTGCAAGGCCTCAATTGAGTTTGAGCTTTCAGGTTGGTCTTCAATATCAACTTCATCTCTCTTCATAGGTTTCTCCATAGCAAAACCGGAACCTCGTAATGATTTTCTCGCAACAGATTTAGACCTTCTTCCAGTTGTTCCAGATTGTGTTGACACTCTTGGGGTATTTACCACTAATGAAGAAAGTGATCGCTCCTTTCTCTTTGCAGGCAACATTACTGAAGGCAAAACCTCAGGTGCCATCACCTTTCTCCGCTTATATGGAAAAATCTTAGCCCTTACATCTTGCAAATTGTGATCTGCCCTGAAACCAAAATAGTTGGATATACACTTCAGCGCAAGTTGATAGTTCCTGCTAGCCAAATGAGTTCTACACTTCCCAGAACCCAGAAGTAGCTCGCATAGTAAAGTTACATATAGTAACGTTACTCGAAAGCTACTCAGTCAAAGGGCGAGTACTGATTAGGACAGATTACTGGGATGCAATTGGTGATTGCTAGTTACTAAAATTTTAAATATAATTGAGCACACACATTCTATTGTTTTCAAAGTATTGAAAATAGAGGTCACTATGTAGTGTATAGGAAATAGCCGTACCATTTAGGCCAAAGATACGCAATCTCACTATTTTATATTTCTACACTATTTTATTTTCACTGCTAGAAAATAAACTTTACATAGTGACCATAAACTTTACCACTGTTCCACAGTTTTTCTGTTTGTGGTCTTAAAAAGGGAAATAATTGAGCACACACATTCTATAGATTTCAAGGTATTAAAAAAGAGGTATTTCTCCCCATTTGCATGAAATGCATGTTAAATACTTCAAAGCTCAGATCAAGAAGAAGATCCTGTTAAGTTAATTTTAATATGGCTAACCTGGATGAGAAAAGACATCGTGTCAAAAATTAAATGTGGAGAAAGATGAGATGGGCAGTCAGTGTAAAACATATCTAACCTCAGTTTCTCAAGTGGGACACAGCCTAAATCAATGTTACATATTGGGCAACATTCTGTCTCCTCATCTGAGAGCTTCTTATAAATGCATCTCCTGCAAACTGGGTGAAGTTCCAAATAAACAAACAAAAGTTTGAATCAAGAAAAGATAGTACTGACAACATAACAACTTACAATTTAGTCTAAAAAGATAGGCTAGAGCAACTAGCTCTAAATAGTATTTTCACATCATATGGGAAACCAATGATAATGACAGAGTTGAAGTAAATGTGATTTCTATCATAGTAGAGCTAACTAATGCATTCAAAGGAAATGCCTGGACAGCTCGACATGCATCATAATGCGAACAACATGCAGAGTAAAAATTTTAGTATAAATAAGCTTTAACGGTAGATTCCACGTTACTTTAAACAAACTGTAAGTTCCACATTTTAGCACATTTGTTCACGCAATAAAAATCGCGAGGTGGCACTTATAAGAACGATGAAAGATTAAACTGTACGCATATAGTGATTTAGTCCACTAAGCCAACATAACTTTGTACTGTAGAAATTGTGTTAGAACCACTGTTACAATAAGTTGAACGTTGCACATCCAGAAGCATGTGTTGATAATATTAATATAAATATATAATAATAGGGAATTATTTGTCTCTTTATATATTTTTTGTCTTAGTTTCCTTGAATAGGTTATTTTCTCTGTATTGATTACTTTCCTTAAGAGCAAAGTGGAGGGCACACATTCGTGTGGACGATTGATCTCTTTTCTATCTTTCCTCCCTCTTTTTCCTTTATCGTTTATGTTCTTTATATTTCTATGTTCTTATGTTTTTATCTTCTAGCTTTTTATGCTCTTTTATCCAGCCCCTCCACCCATTGGCGTATCCAGAAATACTTTGATAGAGAGCAAGAAGAGCAGGGGCGGGAACAGGCTTAGGCCCACCTCCGCGGGCCGATTATGGGCTGAGATTATAGTTTTATTTATTACTATAAGCTTTATGTTATGTTTTTAGTTTGGGCTTTTTATTAGTTGAGTGTTTAGGGCCCGTTTGGTGACCCCTTTTTTCGGCTTCTCAGGCGTATCAGTCAGCTTTTTCACCAAACACGTAACTTTTGATTTCGCGCGCTAAAGTTTGTAATAAGCAGAAAAAGTAAGGTTGAAGTTACTTTTCTGGCTGTTTTGGCTGAAGTTAATGTAGAAGATCATTTTAGCTATTTTTCATATAATTTTTTATTTAATTTATTAATAACAAATATTTTAAATATAATTTTTTCATGAATCAACAGAATCAACCAATACAGACACTTCAGCCAAAACTTCATAAATTTCAGCAGAATCAGTCAATTCAGCCATTTTCAATGTTACCAAACGGGCTATTAGTAGAGTTAATTTTGGGTGTAATTAGGATTTACTTAATTTGGGCTCAATTAGGGTTTCTCTTGAGTCTGTCAGTAGAAGGTTATTTAAACCCTTGTAGGATTCATTCTTGATCATCTTGAAATAAAGTTGGATTTCAGCTTTTTGGCTTTAGGCAACGATTTCTATGGTTGATTATCTAGGCAATGGTTTACCTCGTTGATTTTTATTTTTTTTGTTTTCATCAATTGGTCTGACCTGTCGGATCCCGTCCCGCTAGAATGACGAGATCTCAGAATGATCGCCTGACAGAGATGGAGGCCGAGCTAACTCGGATGAATCAAAACCTAGAAAAGCACGGCATACGTCTCGTAGAGATCGCCGCATCCCAGGCAACGCTTACCAAGGCATTTGTTCCGTCAGTCATGACGGAAGCAAGCTCAAACGTGATCAGCATCCCCGCCGTATCTGCGCACAGCTGCAACGGACAATCGCACAACGTCGCTTCACCCTTGCTGCCAACGTTCGATGGAGAAGACCCGATCGGGTGGGTTGCTCGGAGTTTGAGTAGAACGGAACCCTACCGGAAAAAAAGGTGACGGCCGTTGTGGTTGCCATTGAGGGGGGGCTCTATTGGGTAACATGACTGAGAACACACAAACCCGGCATGACTTAGGAGGGATTCAAGCAAGCTTTGGTGGCCAGATTCGACTCCTGATTTAAAGGGAACAAGTTTGAACGGCTGTCCAACGTCAAACAGATTGGATTAGTGGAGGGCTACAATACCATGTTTGTTCAATTGGCCAGCTAAGTTCCGGAATTGTCCACAACAACAACAACAACATCCAAGCCTTAGTCCCAAAAGATATTGGGGTCGGCTAACATGAATCGATACATGATATCACCACCAAAAGGAAAAGAAAGAAAATAAAGATAAAAAAGATAAGCTATTATAAAAAGATAATATAAAAAGAGATGAATGTACATAAAAATGATAAAATAAAAAGGATACAAATAATGCTTATATATAAGGATAAAAAAACAAGGAAAAAAAGATGAGGGAAAAAGATGATACGAGATCACTCCTCCACATGAATACCCGTCCTCCACTTAGCTCTTTCCAAAGTCATGCGGTCATGCCCTCATCCAACCCCAGAAGAAGCATATCACTTCGAACTCCCCTAACCCACGTCTGTTTGGGTCTTCCTCTCCCTCTCTTCCCAAAGTTCCGATGAACATACCAAAGTTCCGATGACCATACCAAAGTTCCGGAATTGTCCGATGAACATTATTTGGGATACTACATAAATGAATTAAAAGAATCAATTTGAAGCTCGTTTTGCTTATTTCGACCAGATAACTTGGAAGAAGCCACAAAATTAGCTCGTGATGAGGAGCACATTTTGTCCGTGCAGAATGGAGGAGGTGGCGGCCCAAGTTATAATTCTACGGGGACACGTTCCACCAGCGTTTCACTGCCAAACATGGGTTCTTCGCTGACTACCCGTGGTGACAGCATATACGGATCGAGTGACAGCTTTACGAAAGATAGTGGGCAGTCCCCAGGGACAAATTCAGGGTTGTCTGGGCAGTGGGCAGTCTACTGCATGCTCTAGACTCACTTGACTTCTGTTGAAGGAGTTAGAAGAATTGCAAGCAAAAGGATTATGCTTTAGGTGTAAAAAACCATTTACACCAGGGCATGACTATTCCTTCAAGCAATTACGGGTAATGATAGCTGAGGAGGATGAGGAGTTGGACCTCCAACAGCATGAGTAATTGAGTATTGTGAAATAACCGGCCAATAAAAGGTTAATAAGGACCGGGGGTCCGGAAGGAGATGAGGGATATTTTTCATTTTATTCTATGGCTGGAATTTTCAGCCCTTGATATGTAAGATTCCATCCTTGAGGACAAGGTTATTTTGAAGGAGAATGGATTGATAGAGAGTAGGAAGAGCAGGGGCGGGAACGGCTTGGGCCCACCTCCGTGGGCCGGTTATGGGCTGAGATTATAGTTTTATTTATTGTTATAAAGTTTATGTTATGTTTTTAGTTTGGCCGTTTATTAGTAGAGTATTTAGTAGAGTTAATTTGGGCCTAATTAGGATTTCCTTAATTTGGGCTCAATTAGGGTTTCTTTTAGTCTGTCAATAGAAGGTTATTTAAACCCCTTGTGGATTCATTCTTGATCATCTCGGAATAAAGTTGGATTTCAGCCTTTTGGCTCTGGGCAACGATTTCTATCGTTGATTATCTAGGCAACGGTTTACCCCGTTGATTTTTATTTTTCTATTTTCATTAAACCTAGTCACATATTTCACAAATAGCAGATCACATTATTAATATTGTTTGGTTAAACTTAGCTTAAGTTAGAAATGTGCAATTGTAAATAATATTTGAGAAAATACCTAAGTAGAAGTTAAACATAACAAAATTTAGTAAATGTTTTATCTTTTTATTCTTTTAATAGGATTACATAAATCCTATATTTAGGGAATAAAACACTCCTAATCTTATTTTAGAATTTTTCCTATGTTTAATTCCTATTTTGAGCAATTTCCTATAAATTTTAGGTTACATATAGGGAACGGTTGGAGTTCAAGAGGGCATCTTCCCCCTCTGTCCCACACTGGATACACCCTTGCCTCCATCTACTGACAGACCACTTTTTGGACATCTACCTGGCAAACTTAAAGCAACCCTCAAATCGCTAGTTTCGCATGCAGCCACCGCTAAACTGCTAAAGTAGCATGAGATCTCCTAAAAAATGCTTTTTCCAAGACAACACGTGCTGGCATCAAACAAATTAAGGGAAAGCTAAAAAAACCTCATAAAGGAAAGTGAAAGGTCCTAAGAATACATGCAAACAGTAAAAAGTAAAAACACTAACTGATCATTTACAGTTATGAGTGGAACTCTAGTGGCCTTTGTTTATCTTGCATCAATGACAACATCCGAGCCTCAATCCTAAAAAGTTTGGCGTCGGCTACATGAATCGACATATGAAATCAGAGCAAAAAAATAAGAAAGATAAAAAGATAAGGAAAGATAGAAGGATAAAAAAGATATGACACAGATAAAAAAGATAAGATAAAAATGATAATAAAATACTACCTCTGTCCCTTTTTATTTAGCCATCTTTGACTTTTCCAGTCAAATGTGATAATAAATTCTATCCATTATTTTAACTAATATATTCATGTGAAACTTAATAAATTTATACTTTTAGCATAGTACTTTTAACAAAGAACATTTTCATATCATTTTCATATTATCAATATTACCGTGTATAAATATATAATCAGTCAAAGTTGAACATCATTGATTTGGAAAATAGTGTTTGGCTAAATAAAAAGGGACGGAGGGAGTATAAGATAAAAAGGATAAAAGGATAAAGAACATAAGAAAGACGGAGAAAATAAAAAGAAAAGAATAAAAATATGATAAGAGATCAATCCTTCACACGATTATTCTCCCTCCACTTTGCTCTCCAAAGTAATCTCTCATCCAACCCAAGAAGAAACATATCACTCCCGACTCCTCAACGTTTGTTTGAGTCTTCCTCTCCTTCTCCTCCCCGCCTCTTCTCCCCAACTCTCAACTCGCCTAATAAGTCAATCACTCGATCTTCTATGCACACTATCAAACCACCGCAATCGAGACTCTTGCACCTTACCTCCTTGCATCATTTCTAATGATTTACCTTGTCTTCTGGGTCACCCGATTGAAACCATTTTTGAAAGTTAATAAAGGCTCTGCTTGTCATTGTTACTCGCATGTCATTAATAAAATGAATACTTTTGTGTTCCTCATCTTCGGTTGTTCCCGTAGATGTTTGGACTTCTCCCTTCTTGTCATAACATGTTTCAAATGTTGTTATATTTGTTGACCAACATAAAAACAAATATGGTCTTATCCCCTAAAATGCAAATATACAATGTCGGTGTTTACCCGCTTTAAATCTCTTGTTGAGAAATCCGTTAAGTGTCCAATTAAAACCCTTTATTCAGATGAGGATGAGTATGAGAGTACATCAGCATCCCTTGGGACCCACGGAATATCCTATATCATGAGTCACTGCTCCATCCTACACCCCCTTAACACAATGGCTAGTTAGAAGTTAGAACAATGACATCGCCATATTGTTTAAACAAGTCTTTCTCTAGTCTTGTGTGCTACTGTGCCAGTATGCCAATCCAATACTAGGCCCACTGCCTCCTATCACATTAATCACTTAGTAACTCTTAATCTCTCATCATTATTCTAATGTCTCTTCGGTCATTTCCCAATTTACGATAACTTTTGTAGATTTTATTGTTTTTGTTACTAGTGCCTCAAATCATACAGCTCTCATAAACTCGAACCCATGTCATGTGACTTCATTGGTCACTCTGCTACCCAGGGTGTCTAACTCTGTCTAGACCCTCAAACACATCATGTTTGCACCTCTCGTCATGTTTGGTTTGTTAAATTCATGTTTCCATTTCAAACATAGCCAAGGCTCCCACCATCACCTATATTTTTGTGGATGCATGGTGTACCCTCATCCCACCCTTACTCCCTCCGCTACACGTGTTGACCCCACAGTTCCACTAGTCTTGTCCGCTCTGCCGTCAATTGAATCCGCTCCCTCGTCCAAGTCAGCGAGTTGTCTCCCTCTTTCAAGTCAGCCCCATCTGTGCCAGCCCAACCCAGCCCATTTGTCCAAGTTTGCCAATAGGTCTGCCTCATCAGTGTCAGCCGAGACCATCCCTCGGTCTGAGTCTGCCAGCATGTCAAGTGTCAATCGCGTCCTCCCCAGTCGCTGTTTCTCTACCTGACCCCATTCCCCACTTCCCACCAGCACCAGCACCACTTTGAGCATGAACAGCAGGATCAAAGCAGTTCATGAATTAAATTTAAGTGTACAGTTCCAGAAAACGATTTGGAACCTCAAACGGTGACTAAGGGTCTGCATGATCCTCATTGGCATAAAACAATGGATACTGACCTTCCCGCGCTTACAACCAATGACACATCAAACATGATATCTTATTGCGTCTAAAGAGGCTCCCAACATTGTTGGGTGAGTCAGGTCAAGCACAAGAAAAATGGAGATTTTGAAGCTATTAGGTCAGCTTGGTAGTCAAGCATGATGAATCTTTCAGTTTCGCAGTCGAGCATGTTACCTTCCAATTTCCGCTCACTGTTTTCACCTTCTTTGCCTGTCCTTGGAAGCAACTGGGATATGAGTAATGCTTTGCTGTAGGGAATGCTTGATGAAATTGTGTTTATGGATCGACCACACGGTTCCGTGGACTCTAAGGGGACCAAGGACAAGGATGACTAACACTTCCACTAGTGGTTACATTACTTATATTCGCAAATCGCACTTCTCCGGTTTCGTGTTCTTCTAAGAGACAGTGATCTGTTACACACTCCTCTACTGACACTGAACATCGAGCTGTTGCATCTATCCTTCCAAAACTTCTCTAGCTTCGATCTTTGCTCCACGAGTTTGGTTAACCCGACACCTACTTATTGAATGAAACACATTGCTATGAATTTTAATCACAATCAATTGAATGAAACACAATGCCACCTCAGTCTAGATTCTAGAACACCAAGTGTCTCTCACATCTCTTGTCAATTTCCATGGTCAGCTAGTGGATCTTCTCACAAAGTCCGTGTCACGACCACACTTCAAAAGTTTCGTTTCCAGGATCAGACTCACTTTCTAGCCGTCCATAGGGGATATTAAAAATTAGAAATTGGTCAAAAGAGGAGTAAAACATGAACAAAGTTCAAAAATAGGACCAAGTATGTTTTATTCTCAAAATGGGAATTATTTAGAGTGAATTAGAGTGAATGTGTTCTATATAGGAGGGGAAAGTTCTCCATTATTAGAACTTGGTCAAATTAGGAGCAAAGCATGAACAAAGCATATAAATAGAATTAAGTATGTTTTATTCCTAAAATACGACTTATTTAGTCCAATTTAAACAATAAAACTATAAAAAGTTCTCAAAATGAGCGTGAATGAGTTCTGTTTTGAGAAACAAAATGGCTCTCCTATGTGAAGAACTCCTTTATGTTTTAGTGCTACTTGAGGAATTTTATCTTAATAATTACAACATCAGGAAATAATTTGGCTCCTTATTTATATTTGCGTAGTTTCCTTTTCAAGTATAATAAGTGTATTATATATAGGACCCAGAATTGGTTCAACTAAATACACTTTAACTACAGCATAACTGATAAAAGAGTAGCGACTGGCGAAGATCCGCTATCAGATACGGAGCATCTAGATGTTTAGTAAGCAATCCAATCGTGGAACGTGTCAGACAATGCGAAACAGAGCAAACGCATATTGCAAATGGGCAATGCCAAAACTGAGAAACGTCGTGATAATCGATAAATCATCGTAGAAACAATTAAAATCGAAGCACAGGCGCGCAGAGGGATAGGGAGGGGCTTACACGTATGGAGGCATTCGGAAATGGTAGTGGCATCTCTGAAGAGCTTACTGCAAAGAGGGCAGGTCATGTGTGCCGCAATCGTTTCTCTCCTCACTTTCACGACTTGATTCGACATCTGCGATCTATCAGCTCTTCACACACCAAAACCAAAGCCCCAGAATCGAATAAGCTCCGAATGCCTCAACGTAATTGAACAGTGCATGCTAGAACCGCCGCTTAAAGAGGGGAACTTACGTCCATTCCCGCTCTTAAATCTGCATTAAGCTCAAACAAAAGTCGCAGATATTACACGACACGAATTAATGCAGAGAAAGACGCAGAGAGATCCGATCTGGACGACGACAAACCTTCACATCGACGGGTTAAAGTTGCGTGGGTTTGACCGAGGGAAGTTGAAGGTGACGGGAAGATTTGGGTCCGGCGGTGAGTGGCCGATGATGTACGAGAGTATAATATGGGATTAGGAGTGGGAAATGCAATCGATAGCCGCTTCGGCATGAACCCAAAGTACAATGACCCCAAAGTACATACGGAGTACTTCGTATAATTAGAGAGATTTATTAGGAAAATGACAAAATTATGATTACTTAAAAAGAGAGAATTCCCTAAATAAGAGTATAAAAGTTTTTAAATTACAAAATAGGATTATCATATTTTTTATTCTTTGAATAGGAGTAAATTTCTGCCAAGTTTGGCATTACTAGGCTTTAAAACATGACATTTTTTTCCAAACTTGGCAGATTACTCCTATTCAGGGAATAAAAAACATGATACTCCTATTTTGGAATTTCAAAACATTTTTGCTCCTATTTAGGGCAATTTCTATACTTAAAATTGTCATTTTAATTAAAAATATATTCTCCTTCTCTTTTAAAACTTTGTGCAGACAAAATTGAACACCGAGAATAATAAAGTTAGAATTGTGTGGTTGATATATGTGCAGAGAAAAGTGAAATAGTAGGAACTACCTATAGAGCCCGTTTGGTAACTTTTTTGCGTCTTAATAAGTTTATCAACCAACTTTTTCACTAAACACGTAATTTTTTATTCCGCGTGTTGTATTATATAATAATAAAAAAATGTAAGGTTGAAGTTACTTTTCTGTTTTTATTGGCTGAAGTTACTGTAAATGGTCCTTTTAGCTATTTTCCATATGATTTTTTCTTTATTTTATTAATAAAAATATTTAAAGTGGTTTTTTTCATAAATCAGCATAATCAATCAATTCAGTCATTTCAGCCAGATCTTCATAGATTTCAACAGAATCAGCCGATTTATCAAATTTCAGTGTTATCAAACGGGCTCATGTTCTTTGATTAGAAGGGAAAGTGTTAAAAATTTTAGAACAACCCAACAAGAAAACATAACAAACTTTTAATGAACAAAGAGAGTAACTTTTACCAACAAAAAAATATAACTAATTTTGTTTAATTAATTTATTTTTCTTTTTCTTTAAAAAAATAATATTTTTTCTTTTAATTATATTTCAACTCAACTACTCATCTTTGCCCCCTTCCGCTGCTTCATTGTCTTCTCCAGTAATACGTATCAGCGGTCGGCGGTTTTGTTGAAAAGGTCATCGGACTTTTTTCACTTGTGATGAATTTTTGCTGAGAAGAGCTAGCTGAAAAGTTTTTTTAAGCCGGCGATCACATGGGCATCTATGGCAATAATGGTGACATAAAAATATGAAATGACTTAAAAATCTTACAGTTATATCATGTTTTTTCAAATTTAATAATCCCTCAATCCAAATTTGACGATCTGATTGCGATTTTATGAGGTTTGACTGGCGTTAAAACAAACAGATCTCTATCCACACTCAAATTGTTTTTAAGAAAAAAATACATATTTAGAAACTACATTGAAAAATTTACGAAGTCGCAAAAAAAAGTTTGATATATAAAGTAAGAGATCAAAAAAAGTTTGAGTTGACCAAGTGAATAAACAACATAATCATCAAATTGAAACACATGTAGTACTACGTCTCCTATTAGTCACACTTTTATCTTAACCTATCTTAATAAAGGTCACTTTTTGATATTAAATGCTCATTGCTTGTACACATTAGCCTATAAGGTATAGTACCATATGCTATTGGAGTGTGTCATACACTTGCCGTTTCAAAACTTATAGTTTACCGTCCAGCTTGATAGCAAACGGTGTTAAGTTCGTTTACACACACCGTCAGGGGGTTATATTATATAGCCTATCTACCCATCATCGAGTATTCGAGTATCTCATTCAACAGTTGTACCATCTCTTCAGTTACGTCATGAGCTTTTATTACTTTTTCATTTTTAATTACGGCGCACCTCATGAATCCTTCCTCTCCCTCCGTTCCAGAAGATGTAGTGTTTGTTATCAATTTATTAATTATTATGAATTTTTACGTTTAGATGGATTTTAACGTTTGTCTCGGCCAGATATATAATGAGTTTCAACTTCCATTTATCTCCTTCTCATGCTCGTTGATCAACAATCTTTTAGGTATGCTATTCTCTGGTTTATTGTTTCAGCATTCTTCTTTGCACCTTGTCCTTTGCTTAATTCAGTTCAGTATTACATTTTTATATTTCATTCTTAGATTTTAGTCCCTTGTTAATGAAATAAACAACAGTGTTGAAGTTTTATGTACGTGAACTTGGGATTCTTCTGTATTTTTTAATTTTTGAAACCAAAAAAACTCTCACCTTTTATGTGTTTTGTTGCCTGCTTTTTGCTAGGGGTTTTGCTTCATATTTTATATTAATTAACACTTCCATTGTGATTAAGGTCTCCACAAGTTCATATCAAAGAAAACTAAATGCACACTAGGTGTTCGATAATATGTCAAGGTTATTTCAATGCTCATGCCTTCAAGTTCTTCATTTTCGCTGGGTTTTTTAGACTTTTGCTGCGTTTTCCAGCACTTTTGGCTTCATTTTTCCTGCATATTTTATACGTAGTATCAATTAGGACTTGGATTGTATAACAGTCTCCACAAGTTTATATTAAAAAGGCCTCTACACTAGATGTTTCATAATATCTCAAGGTTATATCATTGTAGTTGCCTAAAACTTCTGCATTTTTAGTTCGTTTTTTCCAGCCTTTTTGCTGCGTTTTTTCAAATACTTTTGCTGCGTTTTTTCCTACACATTTCATAATAACGAAAATTTCAATTGTGAATAAATGGTCTCCACAAGTTCATATGAAAGGACTTTAAAAGTGCATTCGGTGTTTGTTGATATGTTCACCTTGTTTCATTGCGCTAGCCATCAATTTCAGCATTTTTTCTGCGTTTTACTGCATATTTCCTGCACTACTGCTGCGTTTTCCCCCGCGTTTTCCCTGCCATTTCCTCCTCATATTTTATATTTATGAAAACACCGATTCTGATTAAATTGTCAACATTTTTTGCTGCGTTTTCCCTGCACTTTTGTCACATTTCCCCTTGCATATTTCGTATTCATCAAGACTTCAAATGTGATTAAATGGTCTCCATAAGTTCATATGAAAGGACTCTAAAAGCACACTATGTGTTTGTCAATGTGTCCAGGCTATTTTATTGCGCTTGCCTTTAATTTGTGTGTTTTTTCCTACAACTTTTTTCTGCGTTTTTCCTGCGTTTTTTCCTACAGTTTTTCTTCATTTTTTCCAGCATATTTTATATTGCTCGAGACTTGGATTGTGATTAAATAGTCTTCAGCAGTTCATATCAAAAGGAAACTAAAATCACCCTAGGTTATATCATTGTAGTTGCCTTCAAGTTCTGCATTTTTTACTGCACTATTTTCTGCATTCCCCCTGTACTTTTTGCTTTGTTTACCCTGCATATTGTATACTCTCTCCGTCCCAATTTGTAAGATACTTTACGGTTTACGATGTTTGACCGACGATAAAGCAAATTGATCCCTGTCAACACTCAAATTAGTTTTAGAAAATAAAATTTACATATTCATAAAATACATTAAAGCCGCTACAAAACCTGCAAAAAATAATTCAAATTTCATAAACTTTTGATATATAAAGTAAAAAATTAAAAGTGATTTATGTTAACCAAGTAAATAGTAAATGCATCTTACAATTTGGGACCGATGGAGTATTAATCTAGACTTAAATTGTCATATCACACAACTTAACAAATAATTGAATATATCAGTAACTATTTAACTAAACACATTGGAGTTAGACAAAGATTAACATACTATTCTGCCCTTCTGGAGTTGGACAATATTTCTTTTACACTTTCCCTTGGGGCCCAATTCCATTAAACCTGATAAGTTTTCAATTATTACTTTTCAAATTTTTCAAATTTCTTAAAACGAAATTTATATGACCATTATTGAATGTTATTTTGAACTATTACATAATACGTATAACAATCCTTCCAATGACATTTTGAGTATTGAAAGTTAAATATAAACTTATATTTAATCATGTTTCTTGCTTCAATTTTTCATATTCGCAAATCAATTGCTTTATCAATATTCATAATGTTTTACGATAACACATTATATAACTCCAAAACTAAACATTTAATTTATACTTATGTTGAATTGATTTTACACAATTCATTAAAATTGAGAGTTGGGCATACGACATTCGCGCAATGCGCGACCAATTTACTAGTCCATATATAAAAGTAATCACTTACTTCCAAATAAGCTTCAATTAGTCATAATATAGGAAACCCCCTAAAACATTGTAGATATTCTCAAATAGGGTATATTATTTAATTATTAAAATACAATTCAAGCACTCCTATTTAGATAAGTTTCATTTTTTTATTAGGGCTAAATAAGTTTTATTTCAATGGAAACATATTTATTCTCATTTCAGTATTCTTACTGTGAGTTACTTCTAGTTTGAGCAATTTCTTTATAATCAAATTATTATTTGCACCTTTTATGAGTATTTAAAAATGTGTCATTGTTTTTCTTCTTAAAATTAAATTTATATCCCGTTTGGTAATACCCAATGTTGAAGACTATTTTATTGTGAATCAAGTTTGTCTGTTTTGTCTGTGATAAGTTAGATGTTTACTATTTCTATTCTGTACTGATTAGATATATCTGTTAGAATAGTATTCAATATGGGCCAAGTGTTAGGCCCATACTCAGGCGAGAAGCCTTTTTGCACATACCTGAGCCTCGCCTATAAAAGAGGGAAGAGGACTCAGGTTTGCAGTTAACTTTCGTATCTGCTCAAAATAGCCTTAGCGCTTATCATTCTTGTACGAAAGATTCACGGTATATCAGAGAAGGTTTACACTTGATCTTTCTGTGTTCATCTTTGTTGTTAATCTTTCATCTGTATGCCATATTATACTGTTGTTATAGAAAACAGGGACTAACAATTGGTATCAGAGCCGATCGAGAGCTTATCAGAAGAACTATCTGCGAAAGACTCTGTTTTTGTAGAATAGCGAGTTTATCATCTGTAATCTTATTTCTGCACCAAATACTGTAAAAGTTATACTGTTAGAATCGCGTTTCAAAAACGATCAAGCAGTATATCTTACTTTTTCGTTTC